GCGACAAAAATTGTAATTATTAAAAAAGGTTTTATGAACTAAAAAAACGTCTTTCAAAAATATTTTATTTCAAAAATATTCACTGCTACAACCATTAAATAGTAAACCGTTAATATACCCACAATTCAAAAATAGTATTGAACAAAATTTAATTTCGAAAAATTCCAATTTTTGTTACAGAACAAGTCGTAAAAAATGCAAAAATTTGTTTATTTAAACGAACAAAATTTCTTTATTCAAAACCACAAAAGAAAAAACTCCAAAAAAAGTGACAAAAAAATTGGTTCGTAGATTTTGATTTTCTGAAACAGTAAAAAATTATTTTCTAAAATGAATTTTAGAATTTTTTCCAAAAACTATTATTTAGTATTTTCCGTTACGATACAAAAAAAAATTTAATTCAAAATCAGCTTCTACATTTTTAAAAAATTAAAATCAGTTACTAAATATTTATAAAAATAAAAAATTTCTAAACAATAGAATAAAAATTTGGAAATAGGAAAATTTCAAAAATTTCACTTTCGTAAAAATTAGTTAAAAATTCAACTTTAGAGAAATAATGCACAAACAGAATTAATTTAGCAAAAAAAAATTTGTCAAATAAGAAAATTTTGAAAATAGAATTCGAAAAATATTTTTTTTTGCTCAAAATCAGATTATATATATGCAAATTTAGACAAAAGAAAGTGAAAATTTTGAGAAAAGTCGAAAATCAGAAATCAAAATCAAACCACTACGAAAATTTATGAAAAAAAAGAAGCAATAACAAAAATAATAATCAAAAAAACTGTGAATTAAAAATATTTAAATCCATAACAAGGTGTATATTTCAGTTTTACAAAAGATTCAAAATTTCTAAAGCAAAAATCAAAATTACTACAAAAAAATACCCTAAAAAAAAATTACAGAAACAAAAAAAATAATAATAAACAATTGAAAAATTCAATAAATTAGAAAAATATAGATCCAAAACCAAAATTTTATATTTCAGTTTCACAAAAAGTTCAACATTTTAAAATCAAAATTATTACAAAAAATTCAGTTATAAAAAATATGCAGAAACAACAAAAATAATAATAAACAATAACAAAATTTAATAAATTAGACAAATATAGATCCGAAACAAAATTTTTATATTTCAGTTTCACAAAAATTTAAAATTTTTAAATCAAAAATCAAAATTACTGCAAAAAGTTTCTCAAAAAATATGCAGAAACAACAAAAATAATAATAAACAATAAAAAAATTTAATAAATTAGAAAAATATGGATTAGAAACAAAATTTTCATATTTCACTTTCACAAAAATTTAAAATTTGTAAATCAAAAATCAAAATTACTGCAAAAAGTTTCTCAAAAAATATGCAGAAACAACAAAAATAATAATAAACAATAAAAAAATTTAATAAATTAGAAAAATATGGATTAGAAACAAAATTTTCATATTTCACTTTCACAAAAATTTAAAATTTGTAAATCAAAAATCAAAATTACTGCAAAAAGTTTCTCAAAAAATATGCAGAAACAACAAAAATAATAATAAACAATAAAAAAATGTAATAAATTAGAAAAATATGGATTAGAAACAAAATTTTTATATTTCAGTTTCAGAAAAAATTCAAAATTTGTAAACAAAAAACAAAACGATTACAAAAAATTCTGTTAAAAAATATGCAAAAACAAAAAAAATAATAATTAGCAATTACAAAATTTAATCAATAGAAAAATATAGATCCGAAACAAAATTTTTATATTTCAGTTTCACCAAAAATTCAAAATTTGTAAATCAAAAATCAAAACGATTACAAAAAATTCTCTCAAAAAATATTTAGAGACAACAAAAATAACAATAAATAATAACAAAATTTAATAAATTAGAAAAACATAGATCCGAAACAAAATTTTTATATTTCAGTTTCACAAAAAATTCAAAATTTGTAAATCAAAAATCAAAATTACTACAAAAAGTTTTTTAAAAAATATGCAGACGCAACAAAAATAATAATAAACAATAACAAAATTTAATAAATTACAAAATTACAAAATTTTATGTCCAAAGCAAATTTTTTATATTTCAGTTTCACAAAAAATTCAAAATTTGTAAATCAAAAATCAAAATGATTACAAAAAATTCTCTCAAAAAATATTTAGAGACAACAAAAATAACAATAAATAATAACAAAACTTAATAAATTAGAAAAATTTAGATCGTAAACAAATTTTTATATTTCAGTTTCACAAAAAGTTCAAAATTTGAAAATCAAAAATCAAAACGATTACAAAAAGTTCTCTCAAAAAATATTTAGAAACAACAAAAATAATAATAAACAATAACAAAATTTAATAAATTAGAAAAATATTGATCCGAAACAAAATTTTTATATTTTAGTTTCACAAAAAATTTAAAATTTGTAAATCAAAAATCAAAATTACTACAAAAAGTTTCTCAAAAAATATGCAGAAACAACAAAAATAATAATAAACAATAACAAAATTTAATAAATTACAAAATTTTATATCCAAAGCAAATTTTTTATATTTCAGTTTCACAAAAAATTCAAAATTTATAATTTAAAAATGAAAAATTACAATAAAAATTCCAAAAGAAATGGTATTCGAAAAATAGAAAATTAATTTATTTTATTCAAAATCATATCTTATTCAGTTACGAACAAAATAAAATAAAAGTTTTGAAAAAAAGGTTCAAATTCAGAAATAAAAATCACTACAAGAAATTCACAAAAAAATATAAAGAAACAAAAGTAATGTAGTAATCATTAAGAAAATTCAATAAATTAAAAATATTTAAATCCAAAATAAGTTTCAATAAATACATTTTCCAAAGAATTCTAAATTTATAAATTTAAAATGAAAATTACAATAAAAATTTAAACATGGAATTATAGACAAAATAAAATAAAAATTTTGAAAAAACGGACGCAATTCAAAAATCAAAATGACTACAAAAAATTCAACAAAAAAAAATTCACAGAAACAATACCAATAATATACGAAAAAAACCAAAATTGAAACTATAAATTTAAAATATTTAAATTAAAAATAAATTTTTTATATTTCAGTTTTACAAAAAATTCAAAATTTATAAATGCAAAATAAAAAGTTACAATATAAAAATTTTGAAAATATAATTCGAAACAAACATTTTTTTCCTCAAAATCAAAGGACGAAATTCAGAAATCAAAATCATTACAAAAAATATACAGAAACAGCAATTATAATAATAGACGAAAAAAATATTTATTTATTTCAAAGCTTACAAGGAAACAAAAATTTAATAATTTAAAAATTTTTATTCCAAAACAAAATGTTTATATTTCAGTTTCACAAAAAAAATTCAAAATTTAATATCAAAATTACAATAAAAATTTAAAAAATGCAATTCGAAAAATTGAAAATTACTTGATTGACAAAATAAAGTCAAAGTTTGGAAATTCAGAAGTCAAAATCATTTCAAAAAATTTTAAAAAAATATAAAAACGAATAATACTATAGGTAGTAAACAATAATAAATTAAAAATAATTCTATGAGTATTACAAATTTCATTTTCACAAAAATTCAAAATTTATAAACTGAAAATCAAAATTACAATAAAGAAAAATTACAGAAAGTTTATCAAGAATTAATTTCCTTTGTATTAAAATTTAATTTCATAATTTAGAAAAAAAATTAAAAGTAAAATTTTTAATTTTCAATAGAAAAAGAAAAAAATCACATGAGCCACACAAAGAATTCCGTAGTTGTAAAACACATTTTTCGAGTCCTCCAAAAATACCATGTGTAAAATTTCAAGAAGTCAACTTTTATTTTCAAGGAAAAATTTTTACTTTAGATTTCATCTATTTTTACGGTGAAAATATTGAGTTGGGTTTTTAAAACTTTAAACTACAAAAATGCACATCGTTATCTAAAAATCTTTATTTTTTCAACTCGTATACCTGCTCCTCTCTCGCTCGGAAATTGAGGAAAAAAGGCCCAAAACCACCTTACTTAGATTTGAACCTGCAGAGATTCAACAATAATAGAACCTGCATAAATAGACGCGACAACCACAAAAGAAATCCCAAAAACTGCAAATAGAAGAAAATTCACAACGAAAACGAAATTAGGAAAAAAAATAAATAACATAAAATGCAAAATAGATATTTAAGTAACGCTAAGAAAATAATTTATTTCTGAGAATCATCATTTTGAAATAAGTCTGAATTCTAAGAGAAAAGTCCTCTCATCCCTTAAGAATGATTTATAAAAAAAAAAACAAAAAACAAAAAACCAATCGAAATCAAAATATCATTCGTGAAGGTAGTGAAATAAAAAATCGTGCACATTAAAATAAAAATGAAATTAAAATATATTCAGAGAAAATAAAAAATACCACTTGAATCGAATCTGAATTGCATATGCAAAGTCAGCAAAGCTAACGATCAAAAGGACCGGAAGTACAAAGCCACGCCACAAAAAGAACCTGACTCTCGTTATAACAAAAGGTAACCGGTGACCATTTGAGACCTCGGAAATTTGAAGAAACGACAAAGAACCCTCACCCCTGGGAGTCTTTTTCTTAGAGTTTTCGACCCCTCATGATTTTTCCCCCTTTCTTTCTTTTTTCCTTTCATGTGCAGAGCCAAGTAATTCAATGATTCGTAAGCACCCTAGTTGCATAGTACGCGACACAATACAAGTTTTATGCCGTATGACGTTCTCTCATTTTTGTTTCTCTTGTGTTCTTTCTCTTATTCTTTTCTTTCCACTTTTTTTTTTTTTTTTTTTTTCTTTATTTTCTACGATATTTTTCTAAGACTATATGTATAGTTAGAGAAGTTAGTTTCTCACACCTTTTTATGTGTGTTTGTGTGTACTGCACTTTATGTATGCACTTCCGTTTAGTTGAATTTTTTTTAAAATTTTTTTTGCTCCTCTATACACCCCTTCTCTTTATGCTGTGTTAGTATGCTTCGTAGCTGACGCTCACACCCTTTTAGGTTCTTGGACATTTGGGACAATCCACATCATCAGAGATCTAAAAATAATGGACCACGCAAAGGAGCGGCGAGCCAGGGGGTGTCATCATCAGCAACAACAACTTTAAACAGCAGAGAAGCAATAAACTGGAACCAACGAGTGCAGCTGACTTGCAGATCTTAAATTACACCAGATTTCTGGATTCGTAAGTTATTTCTATTAATAAATTGTTCTTTAATTGTTTGAATTATTCGTTACGAGGGAAACACTCCACCTGAGAACGCCAAGGTCACCGCTAGATGGCACTTTAGTTGCTTCTTGGAATTTTCGCCACCTAGCGGCGACCTTGGCGTTCTCAAGTGGCGAAACCAAATCACAATTTTATCCCCCTTTTTTATAATGAAAAAAAGTTTGCAAGTTTTTTAAAAAAATATCTTTTCTTTTGTCCACAGAAACAAAAATAGAAATTCAAAGGAAAAAGCGTCTCCTCTCCTGGCAGTACGAAACAATATTTGAACTGAAGAATTTCCTCCAGCAGAACACTTTAACTCAAGAGAAGAAAGCATTATAATGACACACAAGGAGACGGACCATAAATCCATTCAAAAGCAGAAAAAAATCGCCAATGACAAAAGAAGACAATACTCTAAATCAACGGAAGAAGAAAAATTTTAGTGAATTTCCAGAATACTCTCATGGACACATAAAGAAAGTTCACACTGGACAAATAATCATTAATCTCTGCACTCGTGACAAGCAATGGAAAAAAGCAGCAGCAGAAGAAGAAGAAGAAGAGATCCCTACATTCTGGCAGAACCGAAAATATTTTCAGCTACAAAATAGAGGCTCAACTTCCAAAAGATGATTCCAGTATCGTTCCTTGAATATGGTTTTTTTTTGGTTCACGCAAATACTCTGCAAACGGAAAAAAACAATTTTTAATTTCTCGAAAATTAAATCCACAAATACAGGATTCAAAAAGTACAGAAGAATTTTTTTTTTCAAAACCAGTGGCTTCAGTCAAAAATTAAAGGATCGATCACCTAGCCTACTAGAATGTCTTCGCTTTCGGAACGCGAGGTTACGAGGACGATTCGTCGTGAGAAGCGTTCTTCGAAGCACGTACAAAACACCGAAAAAAATGCCAAATAAAAATAGCAGCTTTTTCTTAATTTACAGTCGAAAGCCTCTTTTCGTTTTCTAAGCCACAATTACCAGCAAACAAATTTACAAAAACCAAGTGACAAAACTCTGTTCAAGCACAGTTGGTCTACCAGCCAAACTACTGCGAATCAGAAACAATTTTCTCCGTCACCGACAGAAACCAAAAAAAAAATATACCAACCAAAAAAAAATAACCGGAAATCAACGAAGAGGCCCTAGCACGCCGAATCGTTCCAGAAAAAAATTTAACTTCCCCCAACCCCCCCCCAAAAAAACAAAATCAGCAAACGGAAATTGAAATCTCAAAAATAGAAATCAAAGAAGTTCTTTTCACAGCATCACAGGCTTATATACTTTTCCCCTCTCTTAAATCCCAAACCATCAAAGGCAATAATTCCTGGAGAAATATAGAAGCTTTTCAGTGAGTGAGCCAAATTTCCACAACTCTCATGAAAACTCCTCGACTCATCGAAAATCCATTGACCTGAAATGAAAAAAACTTTTTTTTATTTGCAGAAAAAAAAATTATCAAGCAAAAGTATACAAGAAGGAAAAATCATATCGAATCAGCGTCCGAAAGCGAACACGATTCCAAATTTCCTACACGTCGATCCAATATTCCGTCAATAGTGAAGCAACAAACAAAAATCAAGAGGATATTCCTGATATTCTTTATAGAAAAATAACTTGGACAATGCTCAACATTCAAAATGATTCTAATTGTTTTAATTCTTATCTGATAATTCAGTTTACATCCTGGGTTCAAAGTTTTTAAAATATCAACTTTCTGGATGCTGTTAAAGTGAAAGCAGAAATTGGAACTATTTTTATGATGCAAAAAAACGGTTTAACATTCATTACACTTTCAATATATTACCAACATTTCATCTTTGTTTCATTTTTCAATCCGGTTGGTTAAAAATTCCAGCAGACATCCAGATCATCAAAAATCATTTTGGTGCAACAATCAAGAATCATTTTGTTCCTGAAAACAGAGGACCAGTTACCATAGTTCTCATCTTTAGTATCTTATCTTCATCAGAAAGAATTTTTATCAGAAAGAAAAGAAATAAAAATCGGTATTTAGTTGACAAATGCAAAAGCCATCTTTGGTTCATTCAAAAATCAAGAGTCTGATTCCTAAAAAAGCAGAAAATTTACATAATGATACATCTTTGGTTCATCAGAATAAAATCCGCTATTTGGTTTATAAAATGAAAATCCGCAATTGGTTCATCAAATCTATAAGATTTTTAATTGATCTTATCAAAATCCGTCTTCAACTATCAAAAACCATAATTTATATTAGAAAAATCGAAATTCAGAAAGCAGAATCAACGGTCACCATAAGCACATCTTTGGTATACAACAGAATCAAAATCCGTATTTGGTACAACAGATCAAAATCCGTCTTTGGTTCATCAAATCAAAATCCGTCTTTGGTTCAACAAATCAAATTCCACCTTTTGATTCAACAATCAAGAATCGTAATTGGTTTGAGAAAAATCGAAAAGCTATTTACCATTCATCATTCTGTTCACCAAAACAAAAGATCATCATCGGTTTCAGCAAAAGAAATTTATGTTTCACCAACAAATGTCCATCTTTAGTTTCTAAACAGTCTTTGGTTCATCAAATCAAAATCCATCTTTTGTTCAACAATCAAAAACCACCATCAGTTTCAGAAAAATAAAAAATCATTTACGGTTCAAATCAGTCTTTAGTTCACCAAAACAAAAAATCGGTTTCATCAAAATAAATTTGTTTCACCAACAAACATCCATCTTTGGTTTCATCGAAATAGTCTTCGATTAATTATGCTCAGTTTATCGTCAAGAAATTCAAGAAAACAATAAAACTGATCACATCAACAGCAACAACAACAGAATTCAAAATCGGATGTTTGGAACATTCTAAAAACGATACTATTCAGCGTAAGGCGAAAGAAAAAAAAATCCGAGGAACGGATTCTGGTGAAAAAAAAAGAAAACAAAAAATCGGCACCTGATGCCGACCACGTGGGCATTCTTATGTTTATTCATCAAGGGGACCTTCTCTCATCGTGGACAGCCGCCGTCGTGGGATTACATCAATGCTACCACCAGAAAAACAAAAAAAAGTAATATTTTCCGTTTCACTTTATCATTATTCTCATTATTATTATTATTTTCTTTTTATTCTCTATAATACCAATCGTACACAGCCATTTTTATCAATATTTCAATTTACTTGACATTTTTTCTTTCCCGTCAAATTCAATCAGCTTGGAATAAAAAAAAGAAATTAAAAAATAAATTCGTTACAATATTTTTTTACAAATTTATTTTCTTATAGATATTTTTTTAATAAACAATCGTCAAAAAAATGTATTTTCCTGACAACGTTTGAATTTGTAAAAACTGTTTTTGGTTTTACAAATCTAAATTAATTTGATAAATCAGGAATTTAAAAAAAAAAAAAAAAAAAAAAAAAAAAAAAAAAAAAAAAAATTGAAGAAGTCAAAATTTTTGAACGTGAAAATTATAAGGAATTCTTTATAATTATAATGTACAATTATAATTGTAAGTGTTATGATTTTTTTGTACATTATCAATTAAATTACGAATACAATTAAACATTGTAATTAAAAATTATAATTTTAATTGTAATCGTAATTTTAAGAAAATGTTCATAACTTTTGAATCGTCTTTCTATAAAAATTTTAAGAAATTCAACGAATTTAACAAATTTTTGAAAATATGAAATTTAATTTTCTATTTTTGTTCCTTGCTGTACAATAGAGGACTTGTAAACGACAAAGCCGTAAATATATATTATGAATATATATTTATATATATGAACTCAAAATAGAAATTTTTTCATTTATTGGTTTTTAGTGAATAATTTTCATTTTCACCAAAAGACAATAGTAAAGAAATAAAAATTTGTCTTACCACGCTTGTAATCTCAAAATTTTCGACGATACGGCAGTCACGATCAAGGCCCTCGTTTTTATTTTTAATTTTTTTTTGAAAATTTTAAGAACAGCAAAAAAAAAAAATATACGGCTGTCTAGTTTTAAAGTTATTTTTTAAGTTAGTTTATTTAGTTTTTTTTCATTTGTTTATTTTTCGTTTGTTAATTTTTTCTTTTTTTGTTTTGTACATTAATTTTCCAAGAGGAGTAAATTATGCAAATAAAATTTCTTTTCTTTCAGAAAACATTTTTTTGAGAAGAAAATAAAATTCTTAAAAAAATGTTTTCTGTGTAAAATTTTGCAAAAAAAAATTTGTGTAATTTTCTTTTTACTTGGTTTGGGCGAATTTTTTTACGCGGTTATTGACACTGAAAAATAGACAAAATTTCTATTCTTTCGTAATATGAAAAAAAAATAAAAATTGTTTTTTGGGTAAAATAGAAAATACTGTCAATAACTGTGTAAATATTTGAGCTCAATTTATTTTTTTCAAAATTTTGTCGATCGCTTTTAAAAATTATTATTACGTAAATCCATCCTTTTGACAATAAAAAAAACCGCACAGTGAAAAAACTGAAAACTAACTTTTTTTCTCAGATTTTCTTTTTCAATTCCTTCAAAATATATTGCAGTTAATTTCGAATTTGGCAAAAAAAAACAAAATTACGTTATAAATAATTTTAAATACTGCGATCGACAATTTTTTTTTTATTTTTGGTTCGAATTATTTTTTGGTTGATTTCCTTTTTTTCGTATAATTTATTTTTTTACCTCATAACAATTTGAAAAAAAATACAAAAAAAAAGAGAAGAAGAAACAAAAATAAAAAAGAATTCCGAATTATATTAAAAAAGAAATAATTCCGAATTTTTAATTTTGTAGAATAAAAAAAAATTCTGCAAAATAAAGAAAAAAAAGAAAAATATGTTTTCCATCATCGAAAAATATTCAACTGTTGGAAAAAAAATTTGTTGATGTTTATTTTGGACATACAAAGAATTATTGTTATATAGTTGTAATGAAAAATATTTGTGCGCACGATTTCCAAAAGAATGAAATAAATTGGATGATAATTTTTTGAAAATTGTAAATTATAAATTGTAAATTGGAATATTTTTACAGTTTTCAAAAATGCTCCATTTTTCTGAAAATCGTGCGCTTTCTGGAACTTTTTGAAACGATTCATGCACATTTTTTGCTAAAATATATTCAAAAAGTCCTCGATCGCAATCAGGTCGTTTATTTTTCCAATTTTTTTTTTTTTTCGTTTTTGAGTTTAAAATATTTTATTTATTTATTTTCCGAAATACACGCGTCGTCGCAGTTGTAAAATGGCTTGTTTTTCCCTCCCTTTCTTTATTTTCGTGAATCTTAATAGAAATAAAATTTTTTTTCTTGTTGAAAATTATCAAAAATGTTCCAAAATAATAATAAAATTTTTTAAAACTTAAACATTTTAAATGGAATAATTGAAAAAATTGAAAATTTAAGAATTTTTAGATTCGACATTTTTTTAAAGGAAAAATTTAAATGTTTGAAATATTTGAAGTGTTTCAAAAAAAAAGATTTAGGACAAAAAAAATAAAAACAGAATGAGAAGTAAATTAAAAAGAAAATTGTCTATTTCTAAATTTTGAATGAGAAATTAATTTACTGCGGGCAGCGAATTTTTCTCGTTTATTTAATTTTTTTGATTTACTTTCTCTTATTTTTTTTTCCACCGAAAAAAAAGTTCAGTTTTTCAACAAGAAAAAAAATTTTACGGACTTGATTGAAAATTACTGTCGCTATTCAATTGAAAGATTACGAAGAACAAACGACTTCGTTAAGATTCCTCTCGTTTTACTTTTAAATTTTATATTGGTTTAAGTTTTTTTTTTTTAATTTTTTTTTTTAATTATTTTTAATTTTTTTTTATCTGATGCTGTCGTTGAGACAATAAGTGGATGAACATTACCCCAGTGAAATAAAAATTGAATTTAAGGTTCTTTCCAATTGGTCGAGAAGATTTTTTGGACAAAAAAAAGAAAAGTAGATTAGTTGTAGGGTTAAGATTTTTTTCGAGTTTTTCTCTCATTTATTTACAGGTAGAATTAGATTTTTCTATTTAGGAAAAAAAGTAGAATTAGGGTTTTTCTATTATTCCTCGATGTTGTAATTTTTTTGTGTGTTTAGATTTTAGGATATATTTACGGTGAGAATATTTTTTTTTAATCCGTTTTATTCAGTTTCAATTCGTTTTCAATTCGAATAATTTGTATTCGAATAAAATCCATTGTTTTCCAATAATTTGCATTTTTTTTTTGGAAGGATTTGTCGTTTAGAAAAGTTTAGATTTCGCAGT